AAAAACAAACTACATCATTAGGACCTCCTTTCTCACAAAACATTTAAAAGTGCTTATGTCACTGCATCATCTTAGTGAATATATGAAATCTTTTCCAATTTGAAAATAATAAGGTAATGAAAGAGCTGATTACTATCAAATGGCTTGTTGTCAAGGTTGTTACTTTAAAAAGACAGAAGCAGATCTGACGCCCCTATTTTAACATGTTCAAGTTAAATTTGCAGTATTAGTGCTGTTATACTCATGACAATTTGAGGACAAGCAAAGTTTGCAGAGAAAGGAACAAACATTTTTGACCCAGTGTTGTCCTGCAGCATTTACACATTGGGAAATTTGTCTATTTTTCCCAGCTAAATCAGATAGAAACTAAGTCACCATCCCTGGAGGTATTCAAAAAGCGTTTTGATGTTGTACTAAGGGAATGGTTTAGTGGGAAAATAGTGGTGGAAGGTTGACAGTTTGACTAGATGATCTTAGAGGGCTTTTCTGACCTTGGCAATTCTATGATTCCATATTCATGTGAAGCACAAATACAAATGAAAACTGTCAACATTTTTCTGAAAACCTCTGAAACAACAGCAAGCAGAATGATTAAAAAAATATTTCAGAAATATTTCTCAGTGATAACCAGGAAAAAAAAAAAAAAAGAATTCAGGAGGTTCATCTGAAATATTAAAAACAACTGTCATTTAGACTGAGTTAGATAGCCCATTGCCTTCCCAGTGCTCACAGTTATATAATTTTACTCCATCCAGATTTTGGAACTTGTTATTAAATGAATTGGTTATGACCCTATGATTTCAAAGCAAACCCTTGGACTGTTATCTATCTGTCATAGCATCAAATCAGCTTTGAGTCTCATGTCTACTTAGAAAGCCTTCAGGAATAAACAAAATCATTTGTCTCCTTGGGAAACAAATAGGGTGTTCATTTACTGAGCTGTACCTGTAGATTATATATAATATATTTATCATTATATTATTATCATTATATATATGATATTCATTAGATAACGTAATTGCAGAATATGTAGCTTCAAAAATGTACACTATTTTTCTTTGTACTCCTGTTATTCATGATAGTTCAGAAGAAAGCAGTTACATGAAGCACACATTATCATTCATCTTACTTGGAACTTGACACATTTACCCACAGCTTACCACACCTGGTCCTGCTCTCATACACACCTCTCCCTGCCCCCTCATTTTCTCTAATCACTGCCAGAAGCAGACTGCAAAGACAAATGGCCAAATTTCAGTGGCCTGATTCACATTCTACCTATATCAAATAGTAAATATTAATCTTCATATACAAATTAGTTAGTATTTGAACCCCATTTGGAATAATACAAAAAACTTCCTTACAGAAAGTGTTGTGAAGCACCGGAATAGGCTCCCCAGGGAGGTGGTTAAGTCACCATCCCTGGATGTGTTTAAAAACCTTTTGGATGTGGTGCTCGGGGACAGAGGGTTGTTAGTTAGGATAATATGGCTAGGTTATAGTTGGACTTGATGATCTTCAAGTCTTTTCTAACCTGAGCAATTCTATGATTCTATAATGTTCTGGGTATTTCAGGAGCATAAATATGTTGATCTTCAGTATTTAGAGGATTTAAGTCCAGTTTTCCTTTTTCCAACATAAGGAGAAAAACAATAAAGGAAAGTGGCTTGTATAAGTGCAATAGCCAACTGGCCATGGAATGGCTTGGGTTCAAAAGGACCTCAAAGATCATCAAGTTCCAACCTCCTGACACATGCAGACCACCAACCTCTATATCTAATGCTAGACCAGGTTGCCCAGGGCCCCATCCAATTTGGCCTTGAACACCTCCAGGGATGGGGCATCCACAGCCTCTCTGGGCAGCCTGTTCCAGCACCTCACCACTCTCACAGTAAAGAACCTTCCCCTGACATCCAACCTAAATCTTTGCTCCTTCAACTTAAAACCATTTCCCCTTGTCCTGCCATTATCTACCCTTGTAAAGAGTTACTTCCCCTCCTTTTTGTAGGCTCCCTTTAGGTACTGAAAAGCTGCACTGAAAGTCACCCCACAGTTTTCTTTTCTCTACAAGCCCAGCTCCCTCAGCCTGGCTTTGTAGGGGAGGTGCTCCAGCCTCTTGATGGTCTTTCTGGCTCTCCTCTGGACCCTCTCCAACAGCTCCCTGTCTTTCTTGTACTGGGGGCTCCACACTTGGACATAGTGCTGCAGATGGGGCCTCACAAGAGCAGACTAGAGAGGGACAATCACCTGCTGCCACCCCTCTTCTGATGGAGTCCTGGATACCATTTGCTTTCGAAACTGCAAGAGCACACTGCTGGTTCATGTTACATTTTTCATCCACCAGGACTACTATGTCTGAAATCACTCTGCTTCTGTGCGCTATCACAAAACACTACAGTTGCATGCCCCGTGGATGCTGTTTTCTAATACAAAGCCAGCAGATCTGCCACATGCTGGTAGTTGCTGTAGGTAAAGAGCTCTTTTCCCAAGGAAAATCCTCCTTCTCAGTGTCTTTCAAAGATTAAATATGAAAAGCTGGCTTGCAAGAGTACCTCACAAACCTCTTTAGGAAACAACTTAAAGATACCAGGATACAGACTTTGCATTCCCCTCTTTGTAGCAGTGTGAAACAGCCAGGACATCAAATGACAAATATTCATATTTCTTTTAAAAAAAGTAAATAAAAAAAAGAAAATGGTAAGAGAATGTAAGAGGACAAGATAATATCCAAGATGGCTAAGGACTCCCCACTACAACAGCATGTAGTTTCTTTGCCTGAGAGTAATGAGCAATGAAGTCCAGCATTATCACAGCAGTAAACTTTAATATTATCCGCATGTCAAGTTGCAAAACACAATGCTTTAGTTATGCAAAAATTTTTTTAACACAGTCTTCACACCAATGAAAATTACTACCCTGACAATCATTTTAAGAAAGAGTTTTTGGGAAACTGTCCGTGTGGAAGTGTAGAAAAATGTAACATGCAGTGATATGATTGCATGTTGATACATTTCTCATGAGCAAATGGTATTGATATAAATTTTATTAAAATATTGCATTTAGAAGATAAATGGACTTATCCTGATAACTGACCTTCAAGGATTATTCCTTACCTGGATTAACTGCAATACTGAGAATTTAGGTGCCAGCCATACTTAAATAATAAAGAGTGCACATTAACTTACGCTTAAATCATGTTTTAATTAATTTAGAAAATTCAGAAAAATGAATTTGCATTCCTCACAACAAGTTTCTTCCCTCATTATTTTCAAAACAAAAGATCATTCACATTTGCCAACATTATTTTTGACTTTCCATTGCTGTAGGTCAGCTTTCCGTGGCAGTAACTGCACTGCATAAGGAGTTTCAGAATTCAGAGCAGCAAGTAATCCCTACTGCTCTATTGATTTCTGAATGCCTGTGACTTAAGTGAAAGCTTGTCTTGAGTGACTGTCCACGAGAGTGAGTCTCAGACTTGATTCTTACATGTGTGGTATTTAAAGTGGAAATTAGTTTCCAGTATATTGGCAAGATGGTAATTTCAGGGGCTTCACCTTCTGCCATAATATCCCAACATGCAGGGATAAATGTAAAGGACAATGCAGCAAGATGTGCAGTATGAGGTAACAAAACTTCAGAGAAAAGGCAGTGTAGCAGTGAAGGAGAGCTGTGGCCTAAAACTATCAGAAATTTTCCTTGAAACAGTTTTTTACGCTGTATTTTCTCATCACAGAATTAAGAGTTACTATTGTGCTGTGGACCTCTGGCTGCTTCCAGACATGTGGTGGTGCTACTGCTTAAAGCAAGCCAGAGAAGCTTTTCTAAAGATCAATTTCATATTTTGCTCTTACAAAAATGCAAAGTCATCTTTGAAACAATAAAAAGCAACCTTCCCCAATCTTATGTTAATTTTTTTCTTCTCATAATATACTAGTGCTGTTTATTGATTGCGTTTTATAATCAATGGCTCTATATGTAAGGCATTACATTAATTTCCAGAATATTTCCATTAACCATACGGTTCAGCACTTACACAGCTACTTTGCAGAGGTCACCACATCTATTGTCCAGAGAAGTAGTAGAAATTTTCTTTGTATCTTACAGTTACCCACTGGGATTTCTTTTTTAAAAGCAAAATAATAATATTGAGTTCAGCATTTTAGTTAAAAGTTTCCCTTCACCTCCACTGAACAGAACTATAAAAAATGTTCTGATGTGTAATTTTAACTTCAGCTTTTAGTTGTTTATTGCAGCTGTGTTCTGCATATGGACATATTTCATTTTGTTCCAAGCTGCACAGAGGAAACTCGTCATGGCACCCCTCCTTTCAAACCTGATGAGAGCTGTGCAAATACTGGCCTCCACTCAAAGCTGCATCTGATGTTTCTGGCAGCAAGCACAGCAAATAGCACACATGGATGAAGTAGGGAGGAGCACAAGCTAATACTTCTAAAACTTCACATCACCAGGAAAAGATTTATGTTAAAACATCTCCTACATAATCCCACGGCTGTCAGAGGCATTTGGATGATGCTCTCAGTTACACACTTTAACATTTAGTTAGCCCTGAAGTGCTCAGGCAGTTGGACTACATGATCTTTGTGGGTTCCTACCAACTGAACTATTCCATATAGTTAATAAATAATTATGAAACCCAGAATGTACAAGAGTAAAAAGAACTAAAAATAATTTTGAATTTTTATTGTCAGAAACTAGTGGTGATAGGGGAATTAAACTTGCTCAACTCCAAATCCTTGCAAGATGAATGGCCAGGACAAGTTTGAGATGGAGTAGCTCGTGCATCAGATACTCATACCAATGGCAGAAAATAGAAAATTCAGCTGAAAACAACTTACTGAAAAAAATGAAAACCCTTTTCTGAAAGTGTATAATCAACAAATACACAGAGTGGTGTGGTTAGGCTGGTATCTATAGATTACATAGCAAGAAATAATACAACACTGGAAAGGGATAATTGAAAATAAATGGAAAATACTCACCCATGAACTAGGCTCACAGAAAAAACTCCAAGCGGAGGAATCTCCAGAAAGCAAACCTTCCAGAGAGGCAGTCAGCCCTTAAATGGGGTCTAGGAGAGGTGCAGCCAGGCTCCACCCCTTCTGGTCACACAGCTGAATTGCCTTCACCTGTGCTCCCAGGGCTGACTCAGTGCTTGCCTCAGGTGGTCAAAGATTGAGGCCATGACTCAATAGTTCTCATACAGAAAGCAAGCTGAACTGATAGTATGTTAGGATGGTGTTGGTAATGCCTAGCAATAGATTTATCCACCTAAATGCAAAACATAGTTTTGCATGACTTCTATTTGAAGCATAAAGACAGCTTAGGGGAGGAAAAAGAAAAAAAGAAAAAAAAAGCCTTCTGAATGGTGAGATCCATTTGATTATGGGATACTTTTCAAAGGGAAATGAAAATGTCATCACCTGACATTTCCAAAGCTGAGCTTTCAAATCCCGAGACAGTGCATAGGCAGGAGTGTTAAACAGAGCTGGCCACATCCCCATATACTCTGCATGTGTTTTGTGGAGGGCAATTAGTATCACTTCCTCTAACACTGGGCTTACTGTGCTTATCAGCGAATATGTCGAGTTTAGTTCCTTATGAGTCTCTGAAGATAGCCACCACAAGGTTTCTGACAGGACCTTTAGGTTGAAAAGTGAATCCTTCTTACTCGCACAATCTCAAACTCTGCCTCCCCCACCCCCCCAAAAAAAAAAAAAAAAAACAAATCAAAGTGTAATTGAAGAAAACTTATGCAACGTTAAACCTATCCGAAGCCTTTTTTGGGAAGTTTTGGGGCTGCATTAGTTTAGTATTTCTCTCTCAGCCTTTCCTGGTGTACTGCACTGTCGCAGGGGCAGAACCTCTCTCCTTCCTGTGAACATATAGACAAGTGCCATAGGGGTTACCTCAAGAACTGTAGCAACAGCTACCCGATGCTGCTGTGCCCCAAGTCATCAGGTTGCTGGGAACGTAGCTTTCCCCATCTGCAGCCCTTGGAGTATTCAAGAATGTCAGATGGCTGCGTGGAGGGCAATCAGATGGATAGGTTAAAAAAAAAAATCAAAAGCAAACCAAAAAGGCTTTCATTTTCACTTTCACAAGCCATCTACAGGAGTGAAGTAAGGCCACTCTGTGGAAGGCTTCAAAGTTAATTATATCCATTTGTGGAAAGCTCAGAAATGCTGTCTGCCCCACAGCAAATGGGACTGGCCAAGAGCAGTGAGCCCTGTGTGTCCTTCACAAGCTTTGTAGAATTAAGTTGTCTTTCAGGCAATAGCTTGCTAGACCTTTTTTTTTTTTTTTCTTTTTTTTTTTTTCCCCTCCCTCTTGATAGCAAGGTCTTAATGCAGTATCTGTTTACTACAATTCACCAAGAGGCACAATGTTCCTTGGCTTTTATCCAAACCATTTAGTTCACATACATATTGGAAAAAGCTGTCATGTCAGCAGCTGAGGTTGATATCAAGAGAGACAATAAGAGGATTAAGAGGTGGAAAGCTTTAGAATGCAAGCTACTGAATATTTCACAAGAAATGAAGCTAAGAGTGCTACTGATGCAAGGAGAAGGTCAGAAAGCTTAAATACCTCAGGGATGGTTAAGAAATAATAAAGTAGCCATTAGGCATTCATAGATGTTGATATGCAGTTTTTACAATCTCTGTTTTCATATCAACATGAGTATTTCACTGGGCGTACATCAGTGACATGCAGCACTTGCCAAGGGAATTTGTTGGGAGGTGTTTACAGCATCAAAACCCAGGAATGAACTGACATTTGAGAGTACCTTTGAGGCTGATGCTTTGTCATTTAATTACTTGTTTTTATTAATGCCTGATGTGGATGAAATTCCACGTCGTCAACTATGGGGGTTTGGTAAGAGAATTTAGTGTTTGATTTCACAAAGATTGACTCCTCATCATAGTTACCCCTTTCTATATGGTTCTCTAATGAAATGGTTAAGTGGATCTTCATATACCACCATCAAACCACAGAGACTGAGGGCACAAGGGACAGTGGAAGCATTTTACAGGGCATTACAAATATTTGGCAGCAAATAGACCAGACACAGACAAGCCCAGGTGTTTTCTGTTGCCTTCTCAATGACAAGAGGCAAGGCACAGCAGGAATCTCTCTTTAATTGCTTCATGCTACACTTCAATAATCTCACCTATAAATGTCAAGACATAGCTTGCCAATGGGCAATTCAAAGAACATTACTTTCTTACAAAGCAGAGAATGACTTAAGTATTACATTACCCTTTAACTTACAAGTACGACTGAAATTATCCTTCCTTCCCTCCCATCTCCAGCCTACCAGGGAGGATTTAACAGACATGATGATAAATTTTATATCCTTATGTCTCTGAGCTCACTGAAGCGCATCGATGAATTAATGCATTGTCAACATATAATTCCTGTTATGCTGTGTTTTTATGGCACATTTTACTTCATGACTTTCTGGAAACTTTTGCAAGAAATTTCTTCCCAGAATCCTGTTTAAGCAAAGATATTGTGCTACAAAATGTAAAACAAAAATACCTTTTCTATTTCTCTTGATCTGCTATTCCAGTCTTGCATCCAGGTGTGCTTTCATAACTCTTGAATTATAAAGAATAACTTTCTAGCCCTCATTTCTTTTTGCCTTAGGAATAGCAACTTGCTCTTTGATTAAAAAAAAAGTCTAGAATTAAACCGGGAACTACTATCTGCTGTTTTTTTCCTTTACTTAAAAGTAATTACATTAAAAAATTATTTTCCTGTGTACAACTACTGAACTAGCATGGCTTTACATTGTGAAGTAACTTTAGCTAACGAGTTGTCCACAATGTGATTTCTCTTTTATTCTTGATAGTTTTTTTAAAGTTAGTTCATAGCATACTAAAAAAACCAAAATGCAATACAAGAATTCTGCATGCAAAATAAAAGTTTTACAGGCATATACTCTTTGTTCATAGGAGAGGGTAAATGCACTGTCAGCCAAGACTGCTTCTTGGAGTAACTGGGCTAACAGGACAAGTTTAATCAACATCAACTAGCCACTAAAAACTGGGTCTTCTGCACACTAGTTGAAATGGCTGGTGGATTATTGGGTTTTTTTTGTTGTTTTTTTTTTTTTTTTTTTTTTTTTTTCATGGAACAATCAGTTTTAACAGATTACTCTTAAAGGAAAATGCCTTTTTTTTTTTTCCAAAAGTAACATGCCAGTTGCATGTTACAAGTTTTTTACATTTAGAAACATTAGATCTAGGCTATGGTTCACTGATTAACATGAGAAAGAATCTTACAATAAAGAGGAGCATAGAGATCAAGACACGAGGCTCAGAGACTTCAACCTATGTCTTCATCATGGCAACTCACGTTTAGATAGCCGACCAGTTTTACCGCTGTTAATTGCTTTATTTCTACCAAGCAATCACACAAATCACTGTACCAGTTTGGCATTTACTTTTCTAAGCTTTGAGACACAGTGAATGTTTCCAGTGTTTTCTATACATCAGTCATTGTTGCAGTAGGGAAAGGTACCCAATAATGTAATTTTGGCTCAACAGAACACTTTTTCTCATAAGCAAACAATAATAAAAATTGGAAAAAAAAACAAAAACAAACAAAAAAAAACCCTCTTCGTTCTGCTCCATTCAGATTGTGCTAGATAAACCATTTTCACTTTTAAAGAAAGTGGATAAAGTTTGTCAAAGCTTTTACCAGATAGCTGGGAGAGAATAGCTTGCTCATTCAGTCACTGATTATTCCACAGAAATGAAAGCCATTTTTTTCTTAAAAGCATAATATTTACCAGATATCATCAAACATCTCAGCGCTTGCTCTGAAACCATGAGTAGAGCTGAAATAAATGGGTCTCTTCCTAAGAAATAGAAGCATATAGCAGTAGTAAATCAAATAAATGTGCAGTGCTAATGAACATGAGCAGTACCTCAGATTCAGACATATGGGAACAGATGAAAGCAGTGTTGTCTGATGATTCAACTGTAACACATACATAATTATGAAGGGTTCTGTTAAGGACTTCTAAGCAGCAAAATGCTGATCAAGACATCTACACCCCTTTCTTCATTACTTTTTAATCTTTTCTTCATATGTATTCGGTACATTTATTTCCAACATTTTAAACGACATTGTAATTATCAGGGCTGTTTGCCACTAAATTAATAAAGCTATTGTATATTTTTTAAATCTAGTAAAATAAATAAATAAATAGTGGTGATAATACAGTGGAACAATGAAAAGCTGGAGCTAAGCAGATGTATTTTTGTAATTACTGAGATCAAGACTGGTTTTATACCTGTGCATCTCCTTTACTCGTGCCTCTATCTGTGTCTCACCACTGTAATGAGATTTAAAACCAGGTCTTATCTTCCAAGTGTACATAAGGATCAGTTCGTCCCACATTCAGCAGCAGCAGGTGACAAGAGGATCGACGCCAGATGAACAGATGGACTTCACAGAACAAGGATTGAACTTGACTGTGTTAAATACACCTGTGGCATAAGTCACAGCAATAATGGTTAATTCCCACTGCAGTCTGTCAGAGCACTAAAAATGCTCCACAGATTGCTCCAGTTGTAGAATTTTTCATATTTCTCATCTGGACACTAACTGTAAGGTTTTATGACAGGACTATGAGATTTCAGGCTACAGTTAGAAGCTCAGTCCTATATGTCAAGTTCATTTCTTTTGGCTGTATGTTATTCGGCTTTTAAGAAGAGGTAATAAAAATCGACTTTACCACAAGTTGAAACGTATTTGTTTATAGACATTAGAATTGCTGCACTACATAAGTAGGAAGGGGATGACAGCACAAGATGCTACCAACAGCTTTATTGGTTTAATTGAGAAATGGTGTGCACACACTCTCCTTCCATGGCTTTTGGTAGAGGAAACAGAGTCACCAGGTCCTGCTCTGACTAGATCAGCCTTGCTTCGTAAGCATTGCTTTAAATCCATACAGGGTTGGCAACAACATAGATTAATTTCTGGAAGAAAGGGAACTTAAAGGATTCTGCATTTCAAACTGCTTTAAGTTTCCCAAGTTGCATCCACCAAATTTGCCACATTGCCTCTGGCAAAAAGGCAAGAAAAACAAATGGAAGATTCTGGATGTGGCCTTATACTTCATCAAGAGGAACACTGTATTTATTTTTTTC